TGTGTTTATTTGGGGCAGAACAGCTGTGGAACCAGATGGGACAAAAACCTCCAGCTACATGGCCCGACTCAGAACAGCAGTGCCCTTGCTATGGGGGAGGATAAATTCTGGGGGTGAGGTTTTGGGTCTCAGATGAAACTAAAGGAAAGCCAGGTGGTAGTGACGCACACCTTTAATCCCAGCACTTGGGAAACAGAGGCAGGCCAATCTCACTGAGTTCGTGGCCAGCCTAGTCTACAAAGGCAGTTCCAGGACAGCCAGAGCTGTTACACTGAGAAACCCTATCTGGAAAAACCAAAACTAAAGGAAAGCATACTGTTCCCACAGGGTTGCTAAGTTATCAGGGCACGAATGGCCATCTCCCCTGGCCTGGGAAAAGCTGCCTAGGGAGAGCAGCTGCCTGGGTCTGACCGCCTGGATCCAGCTGTGACTGAAGCCTTTACACCAACTCATGCCACTGGATTCCTTTGTTTGCTTGTTTTGACCATGTTTGAGCTGGACTTCTGCCATGGCCAACCAAAATATCCCAACACAACCTATTAGATACTTCACCAAAATAAGAGGGAGAGAAAAAAAAAACATTTTATTTTTGCAAGTGCATGAATTAGAAATATTTTGTTCTCTGTCACTGCACCATGATTTAAAGAGAGCCAGTAAAGAGCTTACCCCATAAGCAGGTCTGGATGCCTTCACACAGGCTGTCACAGCTCTGAGATTTACATTTTAATTCCTCAAGCCTGTCCTAGGACCTACTTCTATCAATTACTCTCTCCCTCGGCATAGACAACCCCCAGCCCCAACTGCCACAGCCTTTCTTACTCTAGCCTAGAGGTCTACACATCTCCCGCACGTTAGGCAAGGATCAGTCAGAGACTTCCATATCAAAAAACACACATGACCACAATGAAACACCAACAAAACCTGCGTTTAACTGTTTCTGTGTTAACTGTTCATGGTAGTCAGCACAGCTGATGTCTTTTTCTTTAAAATATTTTTCTGTGGCTTCCAGATTTTCCTGATCTTCTTGCTTTCTGCTCTGGTTTTGGTGGCACTGAGATTGGAGCTCCATGCGTGTTATTGCTCTTCATGCAAGCATTCTACCACGAAGCTACAGGAGCCACGGCTCAACCTGCTAGGTACTTCTTTGTTTGTTTTTAAAGTGGGCTCTCACAAAGTTACCCACGCTGGCCTTGAACATGCCATCTTTTTGCCTCAGCCTGTCAAGTTGCTAGGATTACAGGTCCGAAATATCAATTTTGGACCTGCTATTTCTTCTGCAGTAGAAATATGTGTTTTTAAAGTGTTTCTCCTTTCAATTTGACTCAGTTATTACTCGCTCCACTCAGCTGAAACCACCATCCCAAGGGGATGGATATGGTAATGGCCACAGCCAACTAGTCCCCTTCTTTTACCAGTCCTTCTGACCTCTTTAGAGCAACCACCATGGCATCCTTGGCTCAGGTCAGACACTGTTCCTTCTCTTTCTTCTTCATTCAGTCATCCAACACATGGGCTGTCTCGAATGCACAGGATCAACCACGAAACCCCTCTCCTTCCCACAGGCCCCACTTGCTTGCTTCCCTCTGTGGCTCCAACTTTATAACCCCTCTTCCTTCTTCCCCATGTCATACAACCCCAGGAGTTAGCACCCTAGACCACAGACATAATCATTTAATCCCTCCAATTTAATACTTCCAGTGGCTCTTAAAACATTCATAAACGTAGCCTAATTACTGGCTTGTTAGGGAAGCCCCTTCACAGGCTGTTCCCAAACCGTCGGCCCCGTCTTACACCTCTCCCATCCAGACAAGAAGCTCCAGAACTAGAATGGCCAGACTCTGTGACCCTGAACCCTTTTTTCATGCTCTTCCCTCTACACAGGCTCTCCTTTCTCCCTCTTCTCACCCAGAAAGTCCCACCCCAACATACATTCTATCTTCATTAAGAACCCTAATCACTGTATTTTGCTCACCGGTAGACAGTGATCTACTGAAGTACCTTGTGGGGATATCTTGCTTGTACAAATAAAGCCTGTCTGAAGATCAGAAGATGGAGTTTGCCACTAGCTAACTAACCATAGAAGTCAAAAAGTCTGTAAAGACAGACAAGAAGTGAGATGGCCTGGGGTAGAGAGGATATAAGCAGGAAGAAACAGGAACTAACTCTCTTTTCCACTAATGAGGAAAGCTAATGAGGTAAAGGTGGCTTTGGCTTGCTCCTTCTTCTCTCTGATCTCAGCGTTTTCCACTGTATCTGACTCTAGGATTTTATTATTTAGACCAATTATGAACTTCTTTTATTCTGTAGACCAGGCTGGCCTCAAACTCACAGAGATCCACCTGCCTCTGCCTCCTGAGTACTGGGATTAAAGGCCAGCCTGGTCTGCAGAGGGAGTTCCAGGACAGGCTCCAAAACAATACAGAGAAACCCTGTCTCAAAAAACCAACCAAACAAACAAACAAACAACAACAAAAAAACCTCCACTTACAGTACCTTTTGTTATATGATGGATTCTTGCACACAGAAAACAGACAACTGAGCAGGAAAAGTAAAAGATATTGAGAACTAGAAGCCTCCCCTAAAGCCAGACTTCTAGAACATTTTCTATTTGATGCCCCTTTATGCCTAAGAAATTGTCACATGACTCCAGCTATATTGGAACATAAAACAGGCATGCAAAATTTACTGATAATAAAATTTAAAGAAATTTTATTTTTAAAGTTCATTTACTTTTCCCACATATTAAAGAAGTTGGCTCACTAATGAAATGGGTGTTCATATTCATTTTTATCTAAAGCATCAAATCTTGGGTCAACAAGGAGGCTCATCGAGGAAAGCACTTGCAGACAAACATGATGACCTGAGTTTAAACCCCTGGGCTGATATGCAGTGAGAGAACCGGCTACTACACATTGTCCTCTGACTGCCACATGGACATCACGGTATGCATGCGTGTGCACACACATGCACACAAATAAATAAACATAATAAGAACGTTTTGTAAAAAAATAATTACATTGTGGTTGGATATCTGACACTGCAGGACATCTACCATCCTCTACAGTTTTCAGTTTATCATATTTTATTTTATAATAATAAACGCCACTTAAATGGCCACTTCATTTAATACCCAGTATACAAGGGCAGAAATGTATTTAGAGTCATTTCAGAAACCACTGGAAACTCAAGCACTATGCCGGAAATTTGAAGCAAGTGATTACTGCTTCTTTTGTGCCCCAAAAGTCCCATATGAAATGGCTATTTAATTCCCAGAAATCTTTAAAACGCCACTCCAGTCTTCTCTGAATTCTGCTTTGTAATTAAAAAAAAAAAAAAGTTTGACTCTATTTTAATATTGGATCACTGACAGTTTTCAAGTATCACCCCTCCCCCTCCAGCCTGATTCCTCACAAGCTGTGCAAAAGCCTAGAGACTTCCTCCCGGAACCATCAGGAAGGTCAAACCCAGTCTCTGTGTAGGATCTCTCACCCTAACCATCCCCAGCCATAATACAAACCAATGCATGCCCATCCCTCACCCAGTCTAAGTGGTCACTTTGTGTGCAACCCTGTTCTCCCCAGAAAGCCTCACCAAAGAAACACCAAACCTTTGCTTGACATTGCACGGCTCCATCATCTAACTAATTTGGGACAGGAAGATAATCCCAACCTCCATGGTTTCAGTTTGAATGTGTGGTGTCCCCCACAGGTTCATGTGTTTGCACACTTGGGCCCTAACTGGGGATGCTGTTTGGGAAAGCTGTGAAATTTTCAGGTGTAGCCACCCTGGAGAAAGTGGTTGTCCTGGGGGTGGGCCCCACTTCCTATTCTCTCTGCTTCCTGAGTGCTGACCAGCCAGTATCCTGTCCCTGTGGCCTGCCTTCCCTGCCTGCTGCCATGTCTTCCCTGCTGAGTGAGGCAGACTGTGTCCCTCTGGAACTGAGTCAAAGTCACCCTTTCTCCCTTGAATTGTTTGTCAGGATATTTTATCACAACAGAAATCAAAGCAGGACAGCACTGTAACTGGAAACCCCCGAGACAGTAAGCTCCCAGACTGGCCTTGTTAGATCTAGATTACAGATATAATTCAGTAGAATGCGGAGGAGGAGTGCAATGGAAACACTGACCACATTCCCGAGCTTGGGAAACCTCACATAGAAATGCCTGATGATCAAGTCCTACAGCCTAAAGATCAGTTCAGCACAGATTACACAAAAGGACATATTGATCCAGTTTCCATGGTTATAACAAAATATCTGAGATCAGGTAACCTTCAAATAATAGAAATATGTTTGGGTTGTGGTTCTGGAGGCTGTGAAGTCCAAGAGCACAATGTGGCATATGCTTGGCTTCTGCTAGGGACATGGTGAGACAAACAAAAACACACTTGATTGGTCTTTCTTCCCCTTCTTAGAAACTCACTAATGTCAAGAAGGGGACTCCAACCTTCATGACCCCATGAGCCCCTAATTACCTCCTAGATGCTTCAAGTCTTCACCGAGGAAACTGTGGGTTGACTTTCCAACACATGAACTTCAGGAGGACCCCTCAAGCTGCAGAAAATGACTGTGCAATTCCCCTGGTATCTAGGAATATCTAGCTATTTCCATCAATACAAGTGAGTATTCACATGAATAAACCGCTCCAGCTTTCCTTCCTGGATAGCTCTGACACAGCAGAGTCCCAGGATGTCATGTTGAGCTCTCATCACCACTAGTTGCTAACTCAAGTCTCTGCACAGGTTGGGACGGAAGGACATACATACTCTTTCTTATTAACATGTTAAGTTAGAATGCCAGGATAACTGAAGGGCTAACACAAAAAGTCACAAATAGCAACATCCTTCAAATCACACCTAGCTGTCAAATGATTTCTACAAGTGCACAGCACAGAAAATGTCCTGTGTCTTTTCAGCTATACCTAGACTCCTAAAGGTCAGAATTATGAAAAACAGCCTTTCTCGGGGACAGGGATTATAATACCAAAACATCAAGTACTTACGCATCTTTAATTGCTCCTGTTGGACCTAGTGGGGAGAAGAAAAAGATTTGCTTTAGTATGATAGAATTTCTACAAATTAAGCCCAAAACCTAAATGGACTGAAGAGTGCGTGTGTGCGTGTATTTGGAGACTAGGTCTCTCACTGTGCAGCTCTGGGCCTGGAACTCTCCATACAGACAAGGTTGTCTTCCAATTCACAGAGATCATCCAGATCACCTGCCTCTGCCCTCCACCCTAAGTACTGAGATTGGTGTGTGCCACCACACCTGGCCCAAAAACACTTTTTAAATAATGTTTTAAAAAAAATAATAAACTCTCCATCCGATTCACCTTGCAGGCTGGTGTCGACTTTGAACTACTGCAGTCATACAACACACTAATCATGGAACAAAATGAAGGTGATAGATGCAATGACGTTAGCCTGGTCCCAAGACAGGAGGAAGTGCTTTGATGCTGCTCTCACAAACCTAGCTCCTCCCACTTCCCACCCACAGACCAAACACAGCTCAAGGCTCTCTGGGCCCTGAACCCACCTTCATCTGAAGACTCACTTGGAGCTGGTTCCTGCCCTTACTAGCTAAGACATTACATCATCCTACAACACCTGAAACCTCACTTTCCCTCTTAAATCGAACAAGGCAAAAAGACTGTCATTTTCAAAGGAGATGAAAATGAGCTGCACCAGTCACAGCATCCCAAAGAAAGGAAGGTAGAGGTGAAAAAAAAAAAAAAAAAAACATGGAAGAGACACTGAATGCCATGCAACTAGACAGGGCTGAAACAAGTTCTGTGTCTTCCATAGAGGTGTGTGTGTGTGTGTGTGTGTGTGTGTGTGTGTGTGTGTATACATGTTGTGTACACGTGTGTGTATACACACAAGGGGGGAGGAAAAGGGGACAGACAGACAGAGAAGCAGGCAGAGACACTATGGAATTTAAAGTCCTTTAAACCACAACCCTAAAATTAAAAAATAAAACAATAAAAAATGACCAGTGACAGGGATATTTTGACTGTATATAAATAAATAATAAACAATCAGTGCCTCAGACTTGCGCAATTTCAAGTTCAAACAAGCAGAGGATGTAGAAGAAAGACTAAAAAAAATAATTCATGGGAAGGGGAGAGAGTGGTTTCCTGGTCCTTGGATGGTAGGGAGGGGACAGCTGGAGGTGTGAGAAACTGTGACTCTCAGAGTCTTCTTACAAAGAAAACACAACATGAGTCCACAGTTGCTGAAGAGACCTGGGACAATCACAGATGGGCGGAGCATTGGAAGTTGCTGGCTGCATCTCAGGGATAGAGCAGGGCAGACTCAGCATAGACCTGGAAGGCAACATTCTGACCCAAGTCGTGTCCATGTCCCTTCTCAATGTGTCTAACAGTCACTAAATCATTATGCTCCAGTGTCGAGTGACTGGGGACACCCTGGACAGGCAGAACAGCTTAGAGGGAGTCAAAGGCAGGAGCATGTGTGGACCAAGCATTTTGTTCTGTTTTGTTTTAACCACAGCATGTCGTGTAATCAGTGCGTCTTCAATCAGCCACCAGGACCTCCACCTGCTTCACCTTGATTGCACCAGGCCCTGGGTGCCATTAGAGCTCTCCCGGCTGGGCTCACTGCCCTGAACTCACAGTAGGCTCAGTGGCAATGAGTGGTGTCACCTTCCAAAAGGAGGTCCTCATCCCTTTTCTTCTCTAAGATGTGCCTTACTGGAAGAGGCAGCTTGTGTTTAGTGACTGGCTGGGGTGAGGGGAATTTCAGGCAGGATTGTAAAGTGCACCTCATTTTCAGAAGGGGAAGGAATCAAACATCTGAGAAGCCAAGTAGCAACCAAATAGGGAGAAAGTGACTCCACACAGGCTTCTTTTCTGTGGTTTTTTCTTAAGATAATTGTATAGTGTTTTAAAAAATCCTGCGACAAAATTATCAGAGTACACAGGTACACGAAATGAGACATTTAAACTCACCTTATCCTGGAAAAGTGTCAGACCATAAAACGATGAAAAATACAAGTGGCTAGCTACCCTGTAACATTTTAGTCATGCTTTGCTTAATTGCAATAAATCAGATCAAGATTTCTAATCTAATTTATATGAAAATGCTTTGATAAAAATCATTCAGATAGTGGGGAAAAAACAGTTGTTTTAAACTGTGTCTGCAAGTCATTTGATTTATAATTTACTCAACAAATATTTGGAGCAGTGCATCAACTTCTCCATGGCCCCAGGTATCCCTCATCATCCCCAGAGATCCTTTATACATCATGAATCTCTGTTAGAACAACTCCATTTTTGGCCAGACTGCCTCTTCCCTATTTAAACATAGCATTTGTGAGTTGATGTCATCAGCCTTGGAAGAAACAAAGGATGGCAGAGGGACTGAAGATATATATATATATATGGCTTAGAGATTAAGACCACTTGTTACAGGATGACACCAACTGGCAATCTAAGCAATAGTGGAGAGGCCACCTTAAATACCCTTCCTTGATAATGAGATTAATGACTACCTTATATGCCATCCTAGAGCCTTCATCCAGTGGCTGATGAAAGCAGAGGCAGACACCCACAGCTAAACCCTGAACTGAACTGGAACCCAGTTGCAGAGAGGGAGGAGTGATGAACAATGGGGTCAAGACCAGGCTGGAGAAACCCACAGAAACAGCTGACCTGAACAAGGGGGAACTCATGGACCCCAGACTGATGGCTGAGAGGCCAGCATGTGACTGATCCAGACCCCCTGAACATGGGTGTCAGTGAGGAGACCTCAGAAATCTATGGGGCGTCGGGTAGTAAACCAGTATTTATCCCTGGCACACAAATGGACTTTGGGAGCCCATTCCAAATGGAGGTAAATTAGAAAAAAAAAAGACCACTTGTTACTCTTGTAGAGGACCCAGGTTCTATCACCTGCGTCCACATTCTGGTTCACCAGCACCCCTAACTTCAGTTCCAGGGAGTATGATACCGCCTGACCTCACAGGGCACAGGTAAGCACATAGTAAACACACATACATTCACACATACACCTGACTGCTAATTAAAGCTTGCTTTAAATTTGGCTGTAAACTGTGGCAATGGTCTTATTCTCAGCCGGTGGGATTAACATTTTCTGGAGGCCCCCAGTGAGATTCAGACCACCACTCAAATTCTAAAGCTGGGCCCTCACTCGGGGAAAGCAGGGGCGGAGGGGCCACTTCAGGAAGCATACTCTTTCCAAGGCTGCCATCTCTTCAGTTCTCAGTAATAACTACTCGTGTCTCTAGTAAATGACCAGATGGAAAGAAAAAGGGTTAAGTTTTGCAAGTTTTGAAGGCCTAGGAAAATATTTTAAAATGTATAAAGGTTTGAGGATGTGATAGCTTAACTTCTGAGGGTCTCAGAAAATGACTTAAGATGTATAAATGCAAGTTGTAAAGGTATAAGAAGGTGATTAAAAGGTATATGAAGATGGGAAGTGTTTCATATTTCTTTCCCCTTTCTATGCTATTGTTACACTAAGATTTCAAAAGTTCATAGTTGTAACATCGATCAATGGAGTTCTGATAAGCTGGCAGAGCACTGAATACTTACTGTTTAGTCACAGCTCAAGATTTTAAATTCTCTTTGGTTGTCTTCAGAGAGACTTAAGGTGTCTCTCATCGGGTACCATTAAGCTGATGGTTATTAGATTCCAATGTAAACAGGGACCCATCACAGAGTGAAGGATTTGACTCAGGATATATCAAGGAAGGAAACGGGAGAGCCAAGGTTATATTTTAAGTTTTAATTAATATGCCTAAGAGATCCAAGAAACAAAAATGCCTCTGATCTGTAAGTTCCTTGCCCAAGGACAGATAGTTCCTGAAATTCCGGAAGCTATTGTTTATTGGAGATAACAGGCTATGTGTTTTCACTCCCCTAGACAAGTTTGTTTGACCCATCTTCGGCCAGAGCCTATCAATCTCGCCAGTATTTAATTAAAGCTTGCTTCAAATTTGGCTTTAAACTGAGGTAGTGATCTTATTCTTAACTGGTGGGATTAACACCAGCATCACCAAATTAATTAGTTAATTAATGACTTCACTTTTAGATAGAAACTCATGGGAAAATTCATACTTAGAGGGACTACATTCACTGTGGCATGTCTCACATTCCAGGGACACAAACAAGGTCAGCTAGATGCAAGACATCACATTAGCCTGGTGGCTGGAAGACACATACATTATCTTCCTTCCAACAGGCAGATGCCCCTCTGAGGTTCCTCCATACAGAGTGAGTCAGGCTACCCAGAATGCTCTTAGTATTGTTCAAATTCACACACTTGTTAATATGAGAGGTTCCTCACACTAATCAAGAGAATCTTTGTCTTCCCTCTACTCCACTATGAAGCACTGGGCAGCAAAACCAGACCACATGCATGCCAGGCAGGAGCACTGCCACTTAGCCACACCCCAGCCCAAGAGGTCTACCACTGAGCCACACCCAGCCCAAGAAATCTACCACTGAGCCACACCCCAGCCCAAGAAGTCTACCACTGAGCCACACCCAAACCCTTATCTGTTCTAAGAAAATAGCATACATTTATCTTCACATTAGAAAAAAATCTATTACAGCCTCACAAACCTTAGCGTATAAACCATCAGAAACCTAAATACATTGGTACTTTTGGGAAATGATAGATATGCACAACTTCTATGTTTTCTAAAAGAAAAATCCAGCTGAGAACTGTGTAATCTACAGAAAAATAAGCCTTCTCTTAATATTAACACTTTTTTTTTTTTTTTTTACCTCTGGTCTCTCTGACCAGCAATAGTACTAAATCTAGATCATATTTTCAATTTGGCCAAAGGAAATAAAGCAACAGCTGACATTAGTTCAAAAACGATGACTTTTGGTTTGTTCTTTTTTTTTTTTTTCAAAGAATCTGATAAAAACAACACAGATTCATAAGCTATATTTCTTCCAATAATGAAGAGAACATTTCAGGTCAATGTGTCCTAGAAATAGACAATTATGTCGATGAGTGTAGATGCTCTCACAGAA